TTTAGTGTTGGATGTGTTTACCCACGGGCGCTCTATTATCTAAAAGAGATGGGCGTTGGTTTTACCTAAGTGATTGATATAATGTTTGATCCAAGCGCTGCATTGTCTTTGACCTGAGCGATGAAAACATAATGTATGATCAGAAAATTGTGGATTATGTTGACTCACGGTGAATGGATCTTAATACATGGTTCAGTCCTAATGGCTAATTATAGGTATTCAGTACTACGCTAGATTACTTGTGTCTGAGGTTGACATCTAGACCCAGTAATTGATCAAATTATTTATCATCAGCGTTTTTATCGAAATCCATTATAGCAGTGAATTATGTAATCCTGTGGACCACGAGAGTTTATTTAATCCCTGATCACATTGTTTATTGATTCCTTGACCACCGTGTTTATTTAAATCTTGACCACAGATTCTAACTGTCATGCGCGAGAAAATCATTACCATCGAGAATAATCGCTTGAAGCAATTCGTTAGAGGTTTTCAGTCGCATCGCACTGACATCTAGTGCCTTTTTCCAAACTGTCAAACATCTAGAGGTCAAAGACACTCAGCAAACACATCAAACTTAAGATCTTCAACTCTTGTGTGATCCCAGTACTAACTTTAAGAGTTGGAAAGCAAAGGTAGCTCTTGTAAAAAAAAAAAAAATTACAGTTTTGAAAACAGATTTCTTAGAAGAATACCTAATCTCCACTGTACAGATTTCAGATCCAGTACGCAAAAAGGACAAGAGACCAAGCAAGAAAATGTATCCATATACGACATACAGAGATTGACAACTGCACCTGCTTGTGCTCAAGAGGAAAGACTAACTTACAGTGTTTATCTAATCGTTCATCACAGTGTTTATTTAACCCTTTATACAGTGTTTATCTAATCGTTCATCACAGTTTTTATTTAACCCTTTATACAGTGTTTATCTAATCGTTCATCACAGTGTTTATTTAACCCTCGATACAGTGGTCATTTAACCCTTGACACAGTGTTTGTTCAACCCTTGACACAGCGTTTATTTCACCCCTGACACTGTGTATATAACTGGGCAATGTGGCATAGAAGAATGTTTATAAAATGACGGACACTAAAGACAGAGGACGATAGTCAGACATGATGACCAATAGCATAGGCAATGAAATGTAAGAAGAAATAACCAGGATAGAAACAGCTGTTTCACTTTAAACCATATTCAAGCCATTACTGCGAATACTCACCAACATTGCTGCCTAGAGTAGTACAAGTCAGCTGTTTACTGTGGGGCTTGATGCTCTTTGGCTGTATGAATCTCAGTACCAAGTCGACCATAAGTTCAGAGTCGGCAGAATCGCAGCCGTCCGTCATTAGTACTTTATTTCTAGCACATTCCAGTACCCAGGCTAGAGTACTGGGGGAGGAGATCAAACACTGTTGCATTAACCACTGGTTTAGTTTGGTTTATACAATGGATCAACATCATGGCACAAGGGCAGTAACCCATAAATGCTTCGTTCTACTTCTAACTCAAGCCTGAGCCAGAAGATTCTCGACGCAGAGTACGAACTCCGTAGAACCGATCAGGATTCTGAAATACTTTAGGAAGATTTTCAATTCAAAATTATGCCCGGGCAGCACGGTTAGGCTACAGTTTTCGATTTGCAACTGCCAAAGGATTTTTTACGTGCGTAACAATACACACGGACGTCTGATCTTACTACCCAGAGACCACGAAAAACTTCTGCACTCGAGGCGGACGCCATGCCGTGAGATCACTTAGCGCTACCCACCCACAGTTTTATTATATTGTTTATGGAATGTACCCAGGGTCAGATTTAGATCTGATGAGGCCCTTAGCTATATAAAGTTTTGAGGACCCGACAGTTTTTAATTACACCAATTATTATAATAAATTTATATATATATATATATATATATATATATATATATATATATATATATATATATATATATATATATGTATATATATATATATATATATATATATATATATATATATATATATATATATATATATATATATATATATATATATATCAATGTTTGTGTGTTTGTGTGTTTGTTTATAGCCTATAGACTCGGAAACTACTGAACCGATTTAGCTGAAATTTTCAGGATATGTTTGTTTTGATACCGGATGTTCACCCATCATGGTTTTGAAATTCTACCTGTCATTGTTAGAGATAGTGTGCGACATTTTTTGGAAAATCTTCGAAACTAATATTTCCATTTTTAGTGACATTTAATTATAGCCACCTTAGTTAATGCGCATGTGCGATCGATTTTTACCGTGCATGCGCAGTAGTGGCGCTCCATCGTCAACATCCGCCCGTGACATATAAGTTAAATTACAAGGAATAGAATACAATTGTCATCGGTTTTTAGTTGTGTTATCTAGAAATATCTAAAAAGGTAAGAGCATTTATTTCAGTATCATTAGTCAGTATGTACATGTTTTTTGTTTACTTCAAACAAGTGTGCACCACTTCTTAAATCCCGCAATGATAAATGTATACACATTATCATTAATCATTATCTGTTATCTTTCTCAGACTCATACTCATGAGTACAACAGTTTTGGTTGGCTTTCTTCTGTTATTCAAAAGAATTATATAAATTTACATGACATTCCGTCTCAGGTCAGTGTTAGAATCTAGAAATATCTCAATAGGTGAGCGCATTTATTTCCAGTGACATCAGTCATTATGAACATCTTTTAAACTTAAAATACATGTGTGGACCACTCCTTAAATCCCACAATGATAATTGTATGCACATTATCTGTTGGCTTTCTCATATTGTCTTATATACCGCCTTTTCTTATAATTTGCTGCCCAGTTTCTATGCATTTCCTCTTGAGTCAAAATAGATTGTTATCTCATGCTCATATTTTCATTTATTTCAGCGATACTTCAAGTCACATTTCATTCAGTGCGTGAGGACAAACAAGCTATTGATGATCAGCGCTCACAAAATTCACACGCTGTTCACTATTTTGTCAAAATTTGCAGTTATGCCTCCCAAACGACAAGCGATTGGCCCATCTACACCTAAAACACGCAAGAGAAGGGCATTAATTGCTTCAGAAACAGACGAGCAACGCGAGGTAAGACTGGAAATTATTCGAGTGCGCACTGCTGAAGCCAGATCGCCTTAGTCAGACGAGCATCGAGAAGCAAGACTGGAAACCAATAGAGTACGCACTGCTCAAGTCCGTTTATCAGACACAGCCGAGCAACGGAAAGCAAGACTGGAAACCGTTTGAAAGGCACTACTTTATCCAGGCGAACACTGCATGTTGATTTGAAACTTGGTGCATTACATTACAACAGCAATTATGATTATAAGCATCCACAGGTGCTTATTGGCACAATGGATAAATTGTGCGTACATTGCAGTGCCTTCAAATTTAAGAATGACACGCCGGGTATGTGCTGCGCTGGTGGAAAAGTTAAATTGCCAGTATTACATTCACCACCCGAACCATTATCATCATTGGTAGCAGGTGACACAGGCCAGTCGACACATTTCTTGGCAAACATACGTACATTTGCAAATATGTCAACAAAGGAGGCGATATGGCAGTCTTTGGAGTGGGACATGCAGCTGTATCTATCGATGAAATCAAGCAATATCAGCTGGGGCGCTACATTAGTAGCAATGAAGCGGTATGGCACATTTTCTCATTTCCAATTCATGAACGACATCCAGCAGTTGTTTATTTGGCAGTGCACCTTGACAATGGACAGCGCGTGTACTTCACTACAGACAATGCACATGCACGAGCATTGTTACCACCGCCAACCACGTTAACTGATTTTTCTCATTGTGTAGAGATGATATGTTTGCAAAGACACTACTTTACTCTGACCTGCCAACATACTACACGTGGAATGCATCAGCTAAAAAGTTTCAACGTTGCATGCAAGGTCAAGCGGTTGACGGACATCCTAATTTATATTCTACTGATGTTTTAGGCCGTCTGTATACTGTTCATCCCAAAAATGCAGATTGCTTTTACTTGCGATTACTTTTAATCAACAAACGTGGACCGACATCCTTCCAGGACTCGAGAACAGTTTATGGTAAAGTATGTGCTACTTACCGTGAAGCTTGCCAAGAATTAAATCTTTTTGAAAATGATGCACATTGGGAGACTTCACTCGCTGATGCTTCGAAAACTGCTCGACCACAGCAACTACTAACTAACTAACTAACAAACTAACGAGAGACACACTTTGATGTCACCGAATTAGGTATATTTGTTCAAACAAATATTCCAAAATTGGTTCCAGAACAACGTATAGCATATGACACAATTATGCATGTTATCACAAGACATAATGGAGGATTGTATTTCATAGATGCACCCGGAGGTACAGGCAAGACCATTCTCATTTCGCTTATTTTGGCATCCATACGGTCACAAAATAATATTGCACTGGCAATCGCATCTTCTGGATTTACCGCAACTCTTTTGGATGGTAGCCGAACAGCGCATTCAGCACTGAAGTTGCCTTTAAATATGCATATAACTGAGACACCAACATACAATATCAGCAATGATTCTGCAATGGGTAAAGTACTCAAAGTATGTCAACTTATTATACTTGTTCAAACAAATCTTCCAAAATTGGTTCCAGAACAACGTATAGCACTTTCTGTTACTTGATTAACTTATTATATGGAACGAAATGCCCAATATCATCGAAGGTACAATTTTAAATGGGAAATTTAAGAGCGAGAATATACTTTTGCCACTCATCCCAATGATTCCAACAGACATGCCATTTGAATTCAGACGCTTGCAGTTTCCGGTGCGACTCGCCTTTGCAATGACCATAAACAAATCACAGGACAATCGCTACAGTGTGTGGACTACAATCCGCTTTTCACACAGCTGGTGTGTGGACTGTGGAACATCCATGCTTTTCACATGGACAGCTATATGTGGCCTGTTCACGCGTCGGAAAACCTTCTGATTTATTTGTGCACGGGCCAGACGGAAGAACAAAGAACATTGTTTACCCGAAAGCACTTCAGTAAACATAATTACAATGTCATTTTAAATTACCTGTTTTTTCCTAAAGAAATGAAATCGGCACAATGATCCAATATAATTACATTTTGTTAAAGCGATTTTCCTTTCAATTCAATTTCTATTGTAGCAATGCGTGCAGGATAGTTTACAGCAATTAGCAAATATGTTCATTTCATAATTATGGTGTATTTTTTCTATTTTTCTTTGCTTTTTACTAGGGTAATTTGTCCAACTACTTTGATGAGGGAAAAAGTAGTAGGTGAACTGGGGGATGGGCGGTTAAAATAAACTGTTTACTGAGATAGATTTAAGTTACAGTAACTGCCTTACCCACTCAAAGTAATATTAGCTGTGGTTTAGCTGATGCACTGTACATCGCTGGCGTGAAGCGAAGACAGATTTCTATGTTCTCTATTTTTCATTTAGCTAAACTATGCCACAGCAACGCGTGGCCGGGTACAGCTAGTATATATATATGCGTGTGTGTGTGTGTGTGTATGTGTGTGTGTGTGTGTGTTTACTTCCTGGGACATTATTCTCCGACATATTCTACGCTAGATAGACATCTGGAGCACAACTAAAAATATGAGGCCTTAATACACATTTTCTAAAATAGAGTTTTACGACGAATCTTTAGACCCATCAAAGTTACAAATAGCGACGAATGAAGAGCGAGAAGCTACAAAGAAATTCCTCATCTGTTTAAATCACTATTGATCACTGGCATCATGAGATGTAGTAGACTGAAATGGTTTGGGCATATTGAGGGAATGTCAGATGACAGAGAGGTAAAATCTGTATACACCAGGGAGATGAATGGTCGCAGACCACGAGGGAGACCAAGAAGACAATGGAGAGATAATTTCCAGACAGACCTGCAAACACTTGGTGTCACCAACTGGAAAGAGAGGGCCAACCAAAGAGATCAATGGAGGCGGGTGATATCTGCAGCAATGAACCTCAAAGAAAAGAAAAAGAAGAAGAAGAAGAAGAAGAAGAAGAAGAAGAAGAAGAAGAAGAAGAAGAAGAAGAAGAAGAAGAAGAAGAAGAAGAAGAAGAAGAAGAAGAAGAAGAAGAAGAAGAAGAAGAAATAGAAGAAGAAGAAGAACGAACGAACGAACTTTATTTTCAAAGGGTTACAAATTATGCACCCAGGCCTGTCTTACATTCGGCCCTTCCAAACTTCCATCTTTCACGCAGCAGTTGTATTTAATTAATAAAGCATTTTATGTTTATACAGAAGAAGAAGGAGACATCTGAACTTGGCCAGTTCTGCTAATATGGAAATCAGAACCTGTAGACCAAGTGTGTTAGCCGCTGTTCTACTGACACTCCCCACCTTTATTAGAGACCGCTTGTCCTGAACTTGGACGAAGTCTTGAATATTAAACCGCAGGTAAAGTATCCTCAAGGCTGGGCAGGTTCCAATTGGTAAGGTCAACAAAACGCATTCGCTCCATCTGTGCTAGACTCTGCGAGGGACTGGTTACTGGCGGTTGATCTGCCAGGCCATGAACGGTATCCCGAGTTGATCCGTAAAACCGGCCTGCGACCAGACATCGTTCTCCATTCTGCGCAAAAACGGCAGCTCATCCTGATTGAGTTGACGGTCCCGTTTAAGTCGCGTATGGAGGAGAATCATTTGTACAAGCTCGAGAAGTACAGTGATTTAGCAGCCGGTTTGAGGAGAAACGAGGCTTACACGGTACGGGTATTTGCCGTCGAAGTGGGAGCGAGAGGCCTCGTTTCCACTTCGCTCTACAATGTGGTGAAAGAACTAGGATTGCGAGGTAATGAACGGAAACGAACACTCAAAAAACTGGGAGAGGTGGCGGAAAGGGCCTCTAGCTGGCTTTGGACGCAGCGCAACAACGTAGGGGACGGGCCTCGGTGAGCTGGTCCGGGTGTCTAGTGGAAAAGAGTTTCTCATCCCTTTGAAAGTCCATCGTGTCCGAATTGTCTGCCAGTGTTCCTCTGCCAACTGCTAATAAAAGTCCAACATGTGTCCGGTAAACCAAAGTAAGCTTGTCGCTCGGTCGTCCAGGCATGCTGACTGCTTTAATTAAGCTGCCGCGTCGGCTCGGTCGTCCTTCGCAATGTCTTGTCTCTGCTAATTCCGTGCAGCGGGGAACCAGCCCTGAGCTTCATGAACTCAGGTGGGCCCACCTCCGAATACGTCTAGGAATCGTGGGCCGAAACGTGTGTCGACGAGGATAATTTCTACCGAAGACTGGTAGATCCCCGCTGTACTTGCTCCCTGTGAGTTTATTCCTATTGTTGTTGTGCCAGGAAAGAAATCAAAGTCAAACTAATGAGAGCATGCATCTTTCCTGTAGCAACATACGAATGTGTCGTGGACTATCTCGCTGTCTTTAAGGAAAAGCATTGGGGCTTTTGAGCTAAAATTCTATTTTAAGCTTTTCAAAATATTATACACAAAGAAGAGAAGAAATACTTTCATCATAAAGATCAGAATATTAATACGTTTTGGTTAGTAAACAGCATCTTGTCTCGGAAAGTGAAATATTTTTTCCACATCAACCACAATGGCGGATTGTTACAAAATATAGCGGAAGAAATAGTACCAGGAAAGAGGGGTTCGGTCGACCACAACGAAGATGAGCACAGAGTACAAAGTGTACTTTGGATAGGAAAGTGCACGAGGCGGGAGAGCTGTCGAGCGACCGTGATAAGAGCGACGTTCTGCACAGAACCTGCTATATGGTTAGATGCCCTAAATGCTCTGCTTATTTGGCGAAACACATGTAGATGTCCTCAAAATAGCGCTCTGTGGCTGTATCACTGGTCTTCAGACTAGGCATTGAAAACAAAACCCAGCGGATATAAAGATCTTGTTATGGATAGATATCCTTATGTTTAACATTTAGCCAGGGCAGCAAACTTTTTGTGTCCGATTGTCAAGTACAGTCCACTAACACCTTACTCATTGTATTATCTTTACCACGGATCAACTTATTCTGATACCCTTGTCTTCACAAGTTCTCGCAACATTTTTGCTTTCCAGGGTATTTCACCATAGGTCTGTTGGTATTTCATGCAGTACGCATATATAAGAGTACAACACATTGTTAAGCTGCCTAACACCGTGAAATCAATCGTCGCCTGTTCTTGTGTGCCTTGTTTCGGCAGTTAGTATCAGACGACCTGCCCGTTACTACTCACATCGAAAACTGATAAAAGCACCAAGATGTACCCATGAGTGCCAGGTGATATAAGCACTAAGATATAACTATGAGTGCCAGGTGATAAAAGCACTAAGATATAACTATGAGTGTCAGGTGATAAAAGCACTAAGATGTAAACATGAGTGCCAGGTGATAAAAGCACTAAGATGCAAACATGAGTGCCAGGTGATAAAAGCACTAAGATGTAAACATGAGTGCCAGATGATAAAAGCACTATGATGTAAACATGAGTGCCAGGTGATCAAAGCACTATGATGCCAGGACCCGTAAGCTCAGGCACAATCGTCGTTTACCCCTCCGCAAATTTTTTTTTTTTTTTTGAAACAGAACGCAACCTCTCTACCCCTCCTCCCTAATTTGCCTCCTTATCTGTCATACATAGACTTTCCGTTCTTTAAATATGTGTTTGTTCATTTTATATAATTTCAAATATATTATTTATTATGCGCCCTTTCCATAACACTAGTAATTATTTATGACTATTATTGTGTAATTAAACATTGCTCAACCTTTAGCACACTGTTAATTTTTTGCGTAGATGCCTCAAACAGTTAAAGTGTTGCTTTTTTGCAACTTAATAATAATAATAAAAATAAAGTAATAATAATAATAATAATGTTTGTTCGTTTTAGTATCCAGAAGCCATGAGTTGTTAACCCTTAGGCTCGGTATTATGGATATCGCAACCTTTCGGCCTTGATTCCATTGTAAATACCGTAAATCTGGGAGAAATGTGGCTTTGCTGCCTACCCCTGGGAGTGAACCCGGACCACAGGGAGTTCGTCACCCGCTCAGCGCGCAATACGGTTCAGCCAACTATGATAGAAAGACAGGCCAATAAAAATAATAATAAATATTATTGTTATTGTGCAATTAAACAAGGCTTAAGTGTACCGCTCCTAAAAATTATTGCGGATAGGGGCTGAGGCTCCCAACGATCAATGTTTTCTCTGCGACGACACGTCTGTGTGTAAAAATATGATAGATTGCACATTACCTGCATCGATCTGCGGAGACCACTTTGCTGCTTGCCATGACTGGGAGACATGTTGATGTAATGTGCTGTTTCACCTCCTGCCTAGAGAAACACTGGCTGCTTTTCAAATACTCTGTAAAGAGGCAAGGGATTCAACTTATTTCAAATACTCTGTAAAGAGACAAAGGATTCAACGTTTTTCAAATACTCTGTATAGAGACAAAGGATTCAATGTATTTCATGTACTCTGTTAAGAGACAAAAGATTCAACATATTTCAAATACCCTGTTAAGAGACACAAGATTCAACATATTTCAAATACTCTGGAAAGAGACAAAGGATTCAACGCATTTCAAAAACTCTGTAAAGAGACAAAGGATTCAACGTATTTCAAATACTCTGTAAAGAGACAAAGAATTCAACGTATTTCAAATACTCTGTAAAGAGACAAAGGATTCAACGTATTTTAAATAATGTGAACTTTACGTGGTTTTGCTTTACAAAACAAATATAGTAATAAAGTCTTTTAAAAAGAATAGTAAAGAACCACTACTACGTCACCAGCACATCGGTAGATGAAACTTTCTATTTCAAACACAAACTCGGTACTCGATTGCTTTTGATTTCAATACCAGTTAATCGCTTTTCGATTAACGTGGGAGCCATAGAAGAATTATACAAGCTGCATTATGCAGATTCGAACTAAGGACATCTGGGCTGTCAGGCAAGCATCTAGCTACTGCACAAACGGAATCCCACATGAATTTCTTCACTTAGCTGTCAGAGTCAGTCAGACCGACATACACAACAGCCTTCTGTCGCATATTCTGTGAATCAGTTCTGTTGCAGCTATTCTTCCGTAAGATGATTTCAAACTATAAATCACAGTCTTGTCTGTTCTGCGTCTGGATCTGTTACCCTAACAGTTCTTACTGTCATAACAAAGTTCACGATGCCTCTTCTCATAACGTGCCCACAAATGGGGACTTTTGTCCAATGCGGATGATCAGTTATTTTTGTAGGTCAACGGTTTTCCTCTCTTCTTCTCCTTTGTTTGCGTTCACCGGCTGTAAACTCCAGCGAAAAACTCTGACGGTTTGTCGAGTTTTGGACTTTAGTATTGTTAGAGAGCTTGAGTTTTGCGTGCACATAAGTTTTACAGAAACGGCCTAATTTTATGCAGACTGTTGGTTCTGTGCCTCTCAGACAGATGCACTAAGATTCGATGTCACACTCTAAATTGATTGATTTTACGATATTTTTTCTTTTAAAGAGGGGGGGGGGGGGGGGGGTGTCTATTCTTTATTCACGACAATGTGGCTCACGGAACCCACACAGTGAGATTGCTTTCAACACGTCTTCACTACGCTGGTCATATTTTCACGCTGTTATAATTATTATTCTACAAATCAGTATTTTCGTAATTTCTCACTAATAAGTCGTCTGCCCATAATTTGCATACTTACATCAGGATTAGAATACTATGAATCAGGAAGAGAAAAAACATCGACATTCTGAACGAGTTGAACATCAATGAGAAACAAACTGCATTCTGTCCGGAAAGTCTTTTGGCCACATCAAGCGTCATGGTGGCTTGGAAAAGACAGTGAAGGAAGGTGCAGTTTGTGGAAGGCGAGGCAGGGGTCGACCACGGCGAAGATGGATACAAGACATTGAAGATGCATTGTCATTGAAAGCACATGGAGATGGAGGGCTGGCTAGAGAAAGGTATATTTTCGGGCGTGCCGTGAAGAGAGCGACGTTCTGTAAAGGACTTGCTGATTGATGATGATAACATCAGGATTAAAACTATATTGAAAAAAAAAAAAAGTTTGTTCTCACTTCAGCTGATAAAGGAAGATTGTCAGAGTTTTCAAGTATTCTTAAAACATACCGACTTCCTGCAGACTACTACCAACTACCTAGATGTTGCAATTTTTATGACGTCTTGTGTCTTTGAATTACCGTTACGTATTTTTGTGCGCTGCTTAAACCATTACTCTAAATTTATAGACCATCTTAGTGTAATGTTTATCTTTTCTTTAAGCAACACTACCTTTTCAGCAATCAAAACAAAACCATCATCATTTGGCAAGATGTTTACCTAATACCCACATACAAGTTTTTATGATAGATTTATATACTTGTATAAGTGCCAACTGCCAGTACTGACTGTATTTACCTCATTTTCAGTGTAAGAAGGGGGGTGGGGTGGGCGGAGGTCTTTAAACATGGGGATTTAGGGCCGCATGGCTAGTGCTTTCGCCACGGACTGTGCAGATAAGGATTTTTTTGCCCCCACAATCAAAGATAAATAAATAAACACAATTCTCAACCTTACAGAAGATAAGAACCCCACCACCCCCCCCCCCCGCCCTCCCCACGCACAAGAGCCCACCATCTGAACTATTAGACTAGCCGCTGCTTGATATCTTGTATAAACCTTATTATTATTTCATTCTACAAATCGCACAAAACCTGTGTTTACTTCTTTTCTTATATTAACATTTTTCATTCTTGTTCAAGTATTCTGTAGTGAGGTGTTTCCAACAATCTGATGTCACTTTCCATTCCGACTTTGCCATTCAGATTTGTCCCGAAATGTCACTTTCACGTTGTCTACAATATATCTTTGGGGCGGCGGGGGGGGGGGGGGGGGGGGGGGGGGGGGGGGAGGGGGACTCAGAATAAAAAAAAAATAAAAACTAATGTACCTTTTCCAAGCCTTTAGGCGCATAGGGCATATAGGGCTAGACCTGTATTTCTATAGACCAATCGGCACAAGATGGGTGATGTGGTTAGCATCACAACGGCCGCCTCTACTTCCCGGGACTGCACCCAGTACCCACTCAAGGCTGAATCGACCTAGAAGTCAAGGTCATTTTAGAAAAAAAAAAAATCCCGGCCCGGCAGGAAGCGAACCCACGACCTTCCGATTTGCACGCGAGCGTCTAGCCGCTCCGCCACGGCTACTCCCCAAAGTAAACGTGTCTGGTTATTTCTGTGAACGCGTTTCTTATTTGCTGTTCAACTCCAGACCCACATCTTTTCTCCTAGTGATTTTTTTTTTTTTACGTATGCCTGGTTAGGTCTAGATACCACATGAGGGATTTTGTTACCCATCTGAGCTCCAACAGCTACTTTATCAGTTGCTGTAGTATCTGCTACTGCGTGTGCAGTGATCCACGTTTAATACCCACAGGTGGCATGTACCCCCCCCCTTTCCCCGATAGTGTATTGGAAATCTGAGGTCGACCCAGTCTAGTTAAACAAAAATAATTCTAAATAGAATAAACATGGATCTAAGAAAAGCCTGCAGTTGCTAATCGACAGACGGAATAAAAAAAAAAAAAACCACAAAAGCAAAACTGTGTGGCCACATCACAGTCGTTTTGGCTGTAATATTTTCATCTACCAGTGGAAAAATAAAGAGTTTTGATGAGCTGATTACAGGTAACATTTAATTTTTTTTTTAAATGTTTACCGGAACTGACATTAAATAAATATAAGGTAAACAATGCATAATGAACTCGAGACTTCCGTATTGTGAGATGCACAGTCTTATCCAACAAATAGAAGTTGCATTTACTGCCTGCTTTTACCCCTCTGTGGCGTATAATGGGTGTGTGTATAGGTGTGTGTGTGCGTGTGGGGTGGGGGGGGGGGCGTAAGTCAGAGGATCTAAGGCCGTATCGCTAGTGCAGCACCCACCAACCGTGCATTTTATGGTATTTATCTTGCTTTCGACAGAAAGAATTTGCCTCCTTTCCTGAGTATCGAACCCATGTCTCCCGCATGAGAACCCAGCGTTCTAACCATGCAACCAGGCGCACCTCTACTTACAAAATACAGACTGTGTTATTTCTGTATGTCTGATGAATATTTTCATTTGTAAAATTTATTGTATGTGGATGTTCATTATATATATATAACATATTTAGATCTGCTCGAGTCGGAAGTTAAAGATTGTACATTACCTTCTCTCCTGTTTGTACAGACCACGTCCACAACACCCTGTTGGGAATCGAAGGGCAGCCTGTAGATCAAAGGGCATCTGTTGAGTCTCCCTCTGGTGTATGCGCAAGCCAGGGCTGCCTGCAAACGGCTGTGGACAAGGTTAACAGTCAGTGAAGGTTACTAGTTGACCGGATTATGAAAGACTATGGCTCCCAGGTCGACTCGGCTGGACGCTTTTCTGCCGGCCTAGGATCTTGCGTTCGAACCTCGTCGAGACAGATTGTTAGTCAAAACTGACTTCAGCTCCTAGTTGACCTAGCCAGAAATGTGTACATTTTAATGATCTGCGAAGAAAAGGTGGTCAGAATAATACTGACTGTCCTCAACACCACAAATCTGTGTTTAAAGTAAAGGTAAAGGGGACGGGAGAGGGTCGACTTCATAACACCGGGTTTATCCCATATAGTAAAGTCTTTCTCGGCAGAACAGCTAGCTGCCTGCTGAGAGCGTTGCACAGAGCACGACCGTCGTAGCTCCGGCATGGATCCTCATTGACTTTAGTGAAAAGTGTACTCGTAAACTGAATGGAGCCGCTGTGAAAAGAACCCACCACCTTCAGAGCGTGAGGCGAACGGCGTGGCCACTTTCACATTCTACGGCAAATATAAATTAGATGGGCTGACGCGCTTCCTGCCTCGTCACCTTGTCTTCCCAGGTAATTCTCAGACAATTTTAAGTGGACCTCAGGGTCATATTCAGAGCCGTCGTGATGTAGCGGCTAGACGCTCGCTTACGGATCAGTCGGTTGGCCTGACAGTACCAGACTTTTTCATAAATGAACTTGGCTTTCAGGTCGACCTCCAGTCCTAAATGGACACCGGGTACAGTCCTGGGAAATAAAGGCGGGCCAGAACTTATTGATTGCATCATCAACCGAATGCCGATTGGTCTATAAAGTATAGGTCTAGCCCTATATTCTTTAAAAAAAAAAACATTTTTTGCCATATCTTTAGATTGGACTTTGAACACTTTCTCTACAGACAAAAGTTAACAGTTAGTTAAAAAAACAAGTTTTTTGCATGTCATTTAAAGGATGTTACATAGCCAACTCTAGAAGAGTTTAGATGTTTCTGATTTCCCCAAAATGCGATGTATAAATGGCACATCCAGATGATAAAGATGACTTTATCCTTTCTATAAACATATAGAAGAAACACACTTACTACAAACATAGTTCAATGAAATTAGCGGGATGTGACAAGAAAAGACCCAGTAACTTACCGACAATAGACGTCCAGAATATCGGCCGATATAAACGCATGTAATTGCACACCTGCTAGAAGATTGAAGTCAGTACAGTTCGGGACCTTGCTGATCAAACATGTTTCACACGTAGCGATGTCTAAGAAAGATCAAGTTATTTACACTTTAGTAATGAGCTCATCTTGTTTAGATAGGTGTTCCAACAAACAAAAACACAAAAAGCAACACAACTAGGCAGGCAAAAGTATATTTAGTAAAGGATTTAATATGTATAACTATATATATCGGTCAGCGTAATTGTAATCCCACAAAAAACATATACTAAAAAACAGAAAGAAACAAGTACAGGTACAAGGAAAAAAAAAAGCAAGGCAAAAAGGTTAATACTATCCGATACAAATGAATTTAAAAAAAAATAGTTTCACAATGTAGACAAACTGTACTCATAAAACTACTGACAAAAGTGTGCTCAGAAAGGTGTACTCAGAAAACTACTCACAAAACTGTACTCAGAAAACTGTACTTAGAAAACTGTACTCAGAAAACTACTCACAAAACTGTACTCAGAAAACTGTACTTAGAAAACTGTACTCAGAAAACTACTCACAAAACGTACTCAGAAAACTGTACTTAGTAAACTACTCACTAAACTGTACTCAGAAAACTGTACTCAGAAAACTGTACTCACAAAATTGTACTCACAAAACTGTACTCACAAAACTGTACTCACAAATCATCACTAGTATAATCAATCCATGGAACTTGACACAGCTCATCTTCTATTGCAAAAAGTGACAATCGTGAGAGAAGTCTGGAAAGAGCCTTTGTACAAAACATTCCTTTCTCTGTCTTGAAGGTTGAGTCTCATTCAGCGGAGGCTACCAATGAATTGGAACCAGCAATAAGTATTTTACATACTATGAACATTAAATACCTACTATTAGTTTCATAAAAATAATCATTGTTGTGTTCCTTGTCTATTAGTATGGTATTGTGTTAAGTACTTAAGGTTGAAAAAACGCACAGAACTTAAATGTATGATTGAATTCAGACACAAAAGAATGGAGGTAATGACTACGACTCCAGTGTGACGTATAACGACACAGCAGAATAGAGGTAATGGCAGCGATGCCAGTGTGACATATAACGACACAACAGAATGGAGGTAATGACAGCGACCTCAGTGTGACATATAATGACACAACAGAATGGAGGTAATGACTACGACTCCAGTGTGACGTATAACGACACAGCAGAATAGAGGTAATGGCAGCGATGCCAGTGTGACATATAACGACACAACAGAATGGAGGTAATGACAGCGACCTCAGTGTGACATATAATGACACAACAGAATGGAGGTAATGACTGCCACCCCAGTGTGACGTATAATGACACAGCAGAATGGAGGTAATGACTACGACTCCAGTGTGACATATAACGACACAACAGAATGGAGGTAATGACAACCACCCCAGTGGGACATATAACGACACAAAAGAATGGAGGTAATGACTACGACCCCAGTGTGACATATAACGACACAACAGAATGGAGGTAATGACTACGACCCCAGTGTGACATATAACGACACAACAGAATGGAGGTAATGACAACCACCCCAGTGGGACATATAACGACACAAAAGAATGGAGGTAATGACTACGACCCCAGTGTGACATATAACGACACAACAGAATGAAGGTAATGACTGACACCCCAGTGTGACATATAATGACACAATAGAATGGAGGTGATGACTACGACCCCAGTGTGATATATAACGACACAACAGAATGGAGGTAATGACTGACACCCCAGTGTGACATATAATGACACAACAGAATGGAGGTAATGACTACGACCTCAGTGTGACATATAACGACACAACAGAATGGAGGTAATGACTGACACCCCAGTGTGACATATAATGACACAACAGAATGGAGGTAATGACTGACACCCCAGTGTGACATATAACGACACAACAGAATGAAGATAATGACTGACACCCCAGTGTGACATATAATGACACAACAGAATGGATGTAATGACAGCGACCCCAGTGTGACATATAACGACACAACAGAATGGAGGTAATGACAGCGACCTCAGTGTGTCTTATAATGACACAGCAGAATGGAGGTAATGACTACGACCCCAGTGTGACATATAACGACACAACAGAATGGAGGTAATGACTACGACCCCAGTGTGACATATAACGACACAACAGAATGGAGGTAATGACTGACACCCCAGTGGGACATATAACGACACAGCAGAATGGAGGTAATGACTACGACCCCAGTGTGACATATAACGACACAACAGAATGGAGGTAATGACTACGACCCCAGTGTGACATATAACGACACAACAGAATGGAGGTAATGACTGACACCCCATTGTGACATATAACGACACAACAGAATGGAGGTAATGACTACGACCCCAGTGTGACATATAACGACACAACAGAATGGAGGTAATGACTACGACCCCAGTGTGACATATAATGACACAGCAGAATGAAGGTAATGACAACCACCCCAGTGTGACATATAACGACGCAACAGAATGGAGGTAATGACAGCGACCTCAGTGTGACTTATAATGACACAGCAGAATAATGACAAGGATAATGCTAACCATGATGATGATGATTTGCAAAAAAAAATTAGGATGCGTTTTTATTGTGATATTTTACTATTTAATTGTATATTTACTTTTCTTCACGGTTATTCTAGTTATCTTCTATTTCTTCTTTGCGTTCACCAGCTGTAAAGTTCTGACTGTTCATCCACTGCTGGACTGCAGTCTTGTTTCAGAACCTGAGTGTTGCGTGTGCATACGTTTTACAGATCTGACTCATTTATAAGATTGCTGGTTCCTCGCCTCTCAGGCAGATGCATTCCGATTTCGAAGGAAGCTCCCAATTAGTCGACTCTTACGACATGCTTTTGGGTATGCAGTTGGTCTATTCTTGTTTTCCCTGTAATAGGGACCCGGAACAAACACAACGAATTCTAGTTATGATTTCAGTATGAACATTACGAAACTCAATTTTCTTTGCGTATATTTTCCTAATCCCTCACCCCCTTTCTCTGTCTGTCTGTCAGTCTGTCTCTCTCTCTCGCTCTCTCTCTCACTCCTCTCTGTCTTATCTCTCTTGTCATAAGGTAAATTACTGACTTCTCTGTAGGAATTAGAGAATTCGCATTATGTTTATAGAAATGTTGTTTTCACAGCATTCCCTCTAAAATTGTGTTTTATTTTGCTCATTCTAAAGCTTTTACGGTTTATTCAATAGTATTTACAAGTAGTACTTTCTCAGTAAATATTAGACGTATATTTTGATTTTATACAGTAAAAAGTAATGCACTCTTTCACGTCAGTGGCATGTCAGGTATATGATGCTAGAATCATAGTTTGTACAGACCACTCGGCACTCGGCACTCGGCACTCGGTGGGTGATATCGTCTACATCAGTCTGGCTGCTTTACTTCCCATGACTTTACCTGCTACCCATTTTAGGCTGGGTTGACCCCTACATGATCCAAGACAATTTTAAAAAAAAAAAAAAAAATAAAAAAAAAAAAAAAAAAAAAAAAAATAACAGCAAACTCCAACTGGATTCGAACGCAAGCCTTTAAGTCATCAGGTCAGCATCTAACTAGTAAATCACCAGGGCTCTCTTTTCATTACAAGTATTCGTAAAACCTATTTCTTTGTAATTTATTATGGGAAATCAGTTATGAAATTGGACATTTAATATTTTAAATGTTATTCTAAAATTTATGTCGATAATCTGCTTCCCTCCAGTTCGTTTTAGAGATATGTTTGTGAAAATATCCTTTAAAAAAAAATTATTGATACAAAGGTATGTGTTAGTGTTCATATTTAATTGTTACTTTTTTACGTCTGTCCCCCCCTCCACATTCCCCTATCTCTCCTCCCCTCTCCAAAATGTATGTCTCCCCCCCCCCCCCCCCACTTTTTTTTTTCAATTCTATAACTGTTTTAATTTTTGCTCATGATAGTTTATGGCTGTTTGCATTTAACAATTCTAATTTTGTTTTAACTAATGTACGATACACAAAATATCAATGCAATATATGACACAATGCTATTAAACTGATTTTTTTTATATATGGGTACCAGGATGGGCTGTCCTGGGAAAGTAAAGACAGCCGGCGTAATGCTGACCACATTACCCACACAGTGCTGATGGTCTGTAAAAATATGGGACGCTCTGCCCATATGCTCGATGCGCCGAAAAGGCGTGAAAAGGGAACTTTACTTTACTTTTTATATATACACACACATATAGTGTTTCGTACAAAATAAGTATAACAGGATAAAATAATGAAAATTTATGGTATACCGTGGATATATATATTTTTTTCAAACAACACTATCACTTCTACAATAAACTGTTGTCTGGCACTTTCAAATGACAATATAACCATATATTTATATTTATATTTGTAAACAAAACTAACTTCTTGAAGAAAGCCGAAGTGTTTACATATTCCTCAAGAGATATACACGTCCAAAGGAAGGGTGCAGTCCTCAAGCTAAGCTTTTTTCTTGACCTCTCGCCCTCAGATGAACAACGAAAGGGGATAGCTGAGTCATTTCAAGTGCGCTTGTCATGGCTGTGAGTGGCAAGATAAAACTGCCGTGTTATATTGAAAGTGGAACAGGATGACAAAAGATGGGACAAGTGTGTAGAAAGATTCTCTACGTTTTTGTTGTATTCTATTATTAGCAGCGGTCTCTCAAACAGTTAGATATCATAGTAGTCAGTGGTTGTTTGTTGTTGTTGTTGTTGTTGTTGTTGTTGTTCTTCTTCTTCTTCTTCTTCTTCTTCTTCTTCTTCTTCTTCTTCTTCTTCTTCTTCTTCTTCTTCTTCTTCTTCTTCTTCTTCTGTCAGTGAGGAAGAGAGTGCGAATGGTTTTAAGTGATAAGGCATAAATCCTTGTTTCTATAATTTTTAATCTCTTACAGTTTAAAGCTATTCTCTGTCACTTCATGCCATTCCCGTGTAATAGGGCAGCTTTTTATATGGATTCACAGTTATTTGCGAGCACTTTGTGTCACCTTGGAATTCGAATTACCATCATGACACCCGTAACCCCGCATATCAATGCTTCTTTTCTCTGTAGATTGTCAGACTTGTGAACTGACCTGGAAGTATTCGATAGTTTTTTTTACATATGACGTTTTGCTGTACACACGAACGGACATACATATCTGTCCCTGGATCGTCAGTTGAATTGCAGCGGTCCTCTGTGAACGGAAGACTGCTTATTTGCCTAAGTTTGCAAAGCTGGTCTCCCACAGGGGTCCGACACTTCCCCTGTACTTTTATTTGTGAGCACAAGCAGGATAGCTGCAATAAAGGCAATGGGGATTTTGAGAATTTTGACTTTTGCTGACAATACTTTAGTCTTAAACAGGGGATAAAGCATGATAGAAATATCTAGAGAACTGCAGGCCACCGTAGACAATAAGAAGAAACTCCACAGGGGAGCATGTACAGCAGGAGTCTACAAATCATCAGTAGAAGTGATCCCTCGTCCACAAATGTTTCGACCCACGAGCTCCTAGACAATTTCAGAGGGTGGGCCCACCTGAGTTCATGAAGCTCAGGCTTGATCCGATCCTGCTGCATGTATTACCGAAGTATTAGACAAAGTAAAGGATTGGTGTGATGAAACATGTTCTACTATCAATCCAAATAAGGGAGCGGCATTGTGGTGTTGCGGCGTCCGTGGCTTAGGCGTTGCGAGTCCGACTCGTAATCCAACGTACCGCGATCGAAACCCGCTGCTGGCTGCGTGGATTTTTATCATGGTATGGGGCGTCGGAGGTCGACCCAGCCTAAAATGGGTACCAGGGAGGAGGGTGGCTGTCCTGTAGAAATAAAGACGGACGGCGTAATGCTGACATTACCCATCCAGTGCCAATTGGTCTGTGAAAATTTAGGACGCTCTTCCCAAATGCCCGATGCTCCTATGGCGTGAAAAAAGATCTTTACTTTTTTACTTATTGTGGTGTTTATTAGACAATAGAATTGTTAGAGACGAGGTTTTGAGCGTCACAATAAATGGTAATAATTTAGAAGAGAGAATTCGCCGAAAAATTATGGCAAAACTTTAGACAGGAACCTGCCGTTCAAGAACCACATGGAAGAGGTAGTGTTACAGATAAGGAAGAGCTCAGTGCGTTGAGGGTGATGGTATCAGTGGACATGGAACAGAGAATGATCTACACACACATCAGCAACTGTGGCATCAGTAGACATGGAACAGAGAATGATCTACACACACATCAGCAACTGTGGCATCAGTAGACATGGAACAGAGAATGATCTACACACACATCAGCAACTGTGGCATCAGTGGACATGGAACAGAGAATGATCTACACACACATCAGCAACTGATTATTTCGGTGATGGAGCGTGGCTTGGGTCTCATCGCGTTTTTTATACATGCGGCACATACTTGCATTAGCATCTGTACATGGATAATGCAAGGCGTTACAGGCGATAAATATACCTTTAGGTTGCAACGGACAAGGAACACCTTCTACATCAGGCCTTGGAGGACAGCAAGGGGCATTAGCTGAAAATAGGTAGCTACTGGATGGTACAGGCAGAAGTCAGCATCATAACTGTTTGTGCTACTGACAAGATTGCGCGAGGCCAGGAAGGGTTAAGTGCCGCTCAGCAAAACAGACTTGGACAAAGCAATTCTTACCTTGGACAGAGGGTGCTGGGCGCGAGTAGCTGGTGACAAAGAAGCATCGGTGCAAGAGCTGATCAATTAAAATAACAGCCAGGAGACCCTATAAGTGGTGAGCTATTTTATGATCAAGCGGAAGTGGTGAAGGCTCTCTGGGATCGAGTGGAGGGTGCAGCAGAACAGACCAAATATGGGGAAAACATCAGCAGATTTTTAATCAACTTGTAACAGGTTTTATTAGCATATCGACTCTTCGTTGACTTCTGAAGAAGGAGACTGTGCACGTGTAGGAATGTCCCGAGTGCAGGGATATCATTCATTCATTCATTCATTCATTCTGTTTACTAAATTACTTATGCATGGATTCAGGAGTTTAATCTTACACTCAGAAATAAGCGTTATATTAAGTATCACATTACAGATAACTTATTTAAACTTATTCTGCATTAGTTTAGGTAAACTATCTGCAGGTTTATTGGCACAGTAGCTGTACCATCATGCTCCACCGTAGAGCACAAATGCTTCCTACAATCTAGGCACTTAGCTGACTACAGTCGGCAACCATTCTAAACGTCTATAGTGTTAACTTGTGTATTTAAGGGCTTTAGAAGTCACTAAACAAGAATGTTGCATTTTAACAACATCCTTATCAGCCCGTATTTTCCCAAATAATTTTACGACTTGTTGGGAAACCAATAGCCGTCATCTGATCATAGTATTGCCACAAACAAGTGACTCTACTATACAGATATCTGTAACTAGCGTTCATTAAGGTTTAGCATATCTTCGAACAATCAATGAAATATTGTTTTTATAATAAAGGTAGCCGACATTGGATATCTCTGTTTGTCACCCTCGTTGTGCGGCCTCTCAGATACATATACAAAACTCTGAAGTTTGCCACATATCAGTTGCTGTGCGAATGCTGTGCAAAGTTGGGTTCTCACATCTCGTAGGTAAAAAAATATAATGTGAGATCAACTCCTGTAACGCCAGTCTTTTCCTGACATCTCGTAGGTAAAAAAATATAATGTGAGATCAACTCCTGTAACGCCAGTCTTTTCCTGACATCTCGTAGGTAAAAAAATATAATGTGAGATCAACTCCTGTAACGCCAGTCTTTTCCTGACATCTCGTAGGTAAAAAAATATAATGTGAGATCAACTCCTGTAACGCCAGTCTTTTCCTGGCATCTCGTAGGTAAAAAAATATAATGTGAGATCAACTCCTGTAACGCCAGTCTTTTCCTGACATCTCGTAGGTAAAAAAATATAATGTGAGATCAACTCCTGTAACGCCAGTCTTTTCCTGGCATCTCGTAGGTAAAAAAATATAATGTGAGATCAACTCCTGTAACGCCAGTCTTTTCCTGGCATCTCGTAGGTAAAAAAAAATATAATGTGAGATCAACTCCTGTAACGCCAGTCTTTTCCTGGCATCTCGTAGGTAAAAAATATAATGTGAGATCAACTCCTGTAACGCCAGTCTTTTCCTGGCATCTCGTAGGTAAAAAAATATAATGTGAGATCAACTCCTGTAACGCCAGTCTTTTCCTGGCATCTCGTAGGTAAAAAAATATAATGTGAGATCAACTCCTGTAACGCCAGTCTTTTCCTGGCATCTCGTAGGTAAAAAAATATAATGTGAGATCAACTCCTGTAACGCCAGTCTTTTCCTGACATCTCGTAGGTAAAAAAATATAATGTGAGATCAACTCCTGTAACGCCAGTCTTTTCCTGACATCTCGTAGGTAAAAAAAATATAATGTGAGATCAACTCCTGTAACGCCAGTCTTTTCCTGACATCTCGTAGGTAAAAAAAATATAATGTGAGATCAACTCCTGTAACGCCAGTCTTTTCCTGACATCTCGTAGGTAAAAAAATATAATGTGAGATCAACTCCTGTAACGCCAGTCTTTTCCTGACATCTCGTAGGTAAAAAAATATAATGTGAGATCAACTCCTGTAACGCCAGTCTTTTCCTGACATCTCGTAGGTAAAAAAATATAATGTGAGATCAACTCCTGTAACGCCAGTCTTTTCCTGACATCTCGTAGGTAAAAAAATATAATGTGAGATCAACTCCTGTAACGCCAGTCTTTTCCTGACATCTCGTAGGTAAAAAAATATAATGTGAGATCAACTCCTGTAACGCCAGTCTTTTCCTGACATCTCGTAGGTAAAAAAATATAATGTGAGATCAACTCCTGAAACGCCAGTCTTTTCCTGACATCTCGTAGGTAAAAAAATATAATGTGAGATCAACTCCTGTAACGCCAGTCTTTTCCTGACATCTCGTAGGTAAAAAAATATAATGTGAGATCAACTCCTGTAACGCCAGTCTTTTTCCTGACATCTCGTAGGTAAAAAAATATAATGTGAGATCAACTCCTGTAACGCCAGTCTTTTCCTGACATCTCGTAGGTAAAAAAATATAATGTGAGATCAACTCCTGTAACGCCAGTCTTTTCCTGACATCTCGTAGGTAAAAAAATATAATGTGAGATCAACTCCTGTAACGCCAGTCTTTTCCTGACATCTCGTAGGTAAAAAAATATAATGTGAGATCAACTCCTGTAACGCCAGTCTTTTCCTGACATCTCGTAGGTAAAAAAAAATATAATGTGAGATCAACTCCTGTAACGCCAGTCTTTTTCCTGACATCTCGTAGGTAAAAAAAATATAATGTGAGATCAACTCCTGTAACGCCAGTCTTTTCCTGACATCTCGTAGGTAAAAAAATATAATGTGAGATCAACTCCTGTAACGCCAGTCTTTTCCTGACATCTCGTAGGTAAAAAAATATAATGTGAGATCAACTCCTGTAACGCCAGTCTTTTCCTGACATCTCGTAGGTAAAAAAATATAATGTGAGATCAACTCCTGTAACGCCAGTCTTTTCCTGACATCTCGTAGGTAAAAAAATATAATGTGAGATCAACTCCTGTAACGCCAGTCTTTTCCTGACATCTCGTAGGTAAAAAAATATAATGTGAGATCAACTCCTGTAACGCCAGTCTTTTCCTGGCATCTCGTAGGTAAAAAAAATATAATGTGAGATCAACTCCTGTAACGCCAGTCTTTTCCTGGCATCTCGTAGGTAAAAAAATATAATGTGAGATCAACTCCTGTAACGCCAGTCTTTTCCTGACATCTCGTAGGTAAAAAAATATAATGTGAGATCAACTCCTGTAACGCCAGTCTTTTCCTGGCATCTCGTAGGTAAAAAAATATAATGTGAGATCAATCAACTCCTGTAACGCCAGTCTTTTCCTGACACATCTCGTAGGTAAAAAAAATATAATGTGAGATCAACTCCTGTAACGCCAGTCTTTTCCTGACATCTCGTAGGTAAAAAAATATAATGTGAGATCAACTCCTGTAACGCCAGTCTTTTCCTGACATCTCGTAGGTAAAAAAATATAATGTGAGATCAACTCCTGTAACGCCAGTCTTTTCCTGACATCTCGTAGGTAAAAAAATATAATGTGAGATCAATTCCTGTAACGCCAGTCTTTTCCTGACATCTCGTAGGTAAAAAAATATAATGTGAGATCAACTCCTGTAACGCCAGTCTTTTCCTGACATCTCGTAGGTAAAAAAATATAATGTGAGATCAACTCCTGTAACGCCAGTCTTTTCCTGACATCTCGTAGGTAAAAAAATATAATGTGAGATCAACTCCTGTAACGCCAGTCTTTTCCTGACATCTCGTAGGTAAAAAAATATAATGTGAGATCAACTCCTGTAACGCCAGTCTTTTCCTGGCATTTCGTAGGTAAAAAAATATAATGTGAGATCAACTCCTGTAACGCCAGTCTTTTCCTGGCATCTCGTAGGTAAAAAAATATAATGTGAGATCAACTCCTGTAACGCCAGTCTTTTCCTGGCATCTCGTAGGTAAAAAAATATAATGTGAGATCAACTCCTGTAACGCCAGTCTTTTCCTCACATCTCGTAGGTAAAAAAATATAATGTGAGATCAACTCCTGTAACGCCAGTCTTTTCCTGACATCTCGTAGGTAAAAAAAATATAATGTGAGATCAACTCCTGTAACGCCAGTCTTTTCCTGACATCTCGTAGGTAAAAAAATATAATGTGAGATCAACTCCTGTAACGCCAGTCTTTTCCTGACATCTCGTAGGTAAAAAAATATAATGTGAGATCAACTCCTGTAACGCCAGTCTTTTCCTGACATCTCGTAGGTAAAAAAAATATAATGTGAGATCAACTCCTGTAACGCCAGTCTTTTCCTGACATCTCGTAGGTAAAAAAATATAATGTGAGATCAACTCCTGTAACGCCAGTCTTTTCCTGGCATCTCGTAGGTAAAAAAATATAATGTGAGATCAACTCCTGTAACGCCAGTCTTTTCCTGACATCTCGTAGGTAAAAAAATATAATGTGAGATCAACTCCTGTAACGCCAGTCTTTTCCTGACATCTCGTAGGTAAAAAAATAAAATGTGAGATCAACTCCTGTAACGCCAGTCTTTTCCTGACATCTCGTAGGTAAAAAAAATATAATGTGAGATCAACTCCTGTAACGCCAGTCTTTTTCCTGGCATCTCGTAGGTAAAAAAATATAATGTGAGATCAACTCCTGTAACGCCAGTCTTTTCCTGGCATCTCGTAGGTAAAAAAAATATAATGTGAGATCAACTCCTGTAACGCCAGTCTTTTCCTGCCATCTCGTAGGTAAAAAAATATAATGTGAGATCAACTCCTGTAACGCCAGTCTTTTCCTGACATCTCGTAGGTAAAAAAATATAATGTGAGATCAACTCCTGTAACGCCAGTCTTTTCCTGGCATCTCGTAGGTAAAAAAATATAATGTGAGATCAACTCCTGTAACGCCAGTCTTTTCCTGCCATCTCGTAGGTAAAAAAATATAATGTGAGATCAACTCCTGTAACGCCAGTCTTTTCCTGACATCTCGTAGGTAAAAAAATATAATGTGAGATCAACTCCTGTAACGCCAGTCTTTTCCTGGCATCTCGTAGGTAAAAAAATATAATGTGAGATCAACTCCTGTAACGCCAGTCTTTTCCTGACATCTCGTAGGTAAAAAAATATAATGTGAGATCAACTCCTGTAACGCCAGTCTTTTCCTGACATCTCGTAGGTAAAAAAAATATAATGTGAGATCAACTCCTGTAACGCCAGTCTTTTCCTGACATCTCGTAGGTAAAAAAATATAATGTGAGATCAACTCCTGTAACGCCAGTCTTTTCCTGACATCTCGTAGGTAAAAAAAATATAATGTGAGATCAACTCCTGTAACGCCAGTCTTTTCCTGACATCTCGTAGGTAAAAAAATATAATGTGAGATCAACTCCTGTAACGCCAGTCTTTTCCTGACATCTCGTAGGTAAAAAAATATAATGTGAGATCAACTCCTGTAACGCCAGTCTTTTCCTGACATCTCGTAGGTAAAAAAATATAATGTGAGATCAACTCCTGTAACGCCAGTCTTTTCCTGACATCTCGTAGGTAAAAAAATATAATGTGAGATCAACTCCTGTAACGCCAGTCTTTTCCTGACATCTCGTAGGTAAAAAAATATAATGTGAGATCAACTCCTGTAACGCCAGTCTTTTCCTGACATCTCGTAGGTAAAAAAATATAATGTGAGATCAACTCCTGTAACGCCAGTCTTTTCCTGACATCTCGTAGGTAAAAAAAATATAATGTGAGATCAACTCC